AAAAGGTACCTTTCAAAGGTATCTACCTTTTATTTTGCTGTGTGAATCACCAAACACAGTAGGTATCACAAGCACAATCTATTACAAATGTTCTAGCTATCATTTGTACTTACTGCTTTTTATTTGTAACATATAACATTTTATTTCCTTAAATTGCTGCAACTTGGCATTCTCACTTCATCAGTGTCACCACACAGGTATGTTGTCTCCTCAGGTGTTTGTGTCATGTCTGCAAAAGCTCTGCTGGACTTCCCTGTGCTAACCTGCAGCCACTTCCTTTACCCTGTCACTTCATATGACACAAACCCGCTGTGTAACTGAGCCCCCCCTAAGGAAGGCTGTTTCCTCCTTTCTTTTTTTTCCATTGTGCTCACAGCTTTTTTAAATCTTTTTCTGCCTCTGAAGCTGGGGTGTGTTTTTTCTTGAGCTCCTTTATTGCATCAGTCTTGTCAGATTCCATTGCTGTGGATGTTTCGAAACAGAATTCCTGTTGCAAGGACCTCAATTTCAGATGAGCTGCCTCTGCCAGGGGATGGGCAGCGTGCACAGAGACTGATCTGATCACAGGCTGGACCTTAAATAAGGACTGCAAGATCAAGCATGAGGTACTTGAGGTAGTTTCACTACTTGAAGTAGTAGTAATGTTTTGGTGTATTTTCTCACGTTGGGTATGCAGGTAATCCCTCTTGTGGAAAAGACTTCCGCCAGGAGTTTTGTGGCATTTTTTCCACTTGAAAGAAAAAAGATCGGCAGGACGGGGAAGTCCTGAGCCACTGAAATCCCGGTGGCACACCAGTCCTGCGTGGTACTCCGGGTGTGTAGGAGTGCAGTGTCACCAGGCAGCCTGTGTGGGACGTGCTGCAGAGCTGGGAGCAGGTCACCACCCTCCTGCAGGTGACTCACAGCCACCCCTGCTCAGCCGGCCCATGCAGGGGCTCATCCCCACACACAGCAGCTCTCTCCATGGAATCACAGTGCCCTGGCTTTGGGCAGAGCAGGAGCGTGCACGGTTCAGTTGCTGCTTTAGCGGTAACGAACCTTCCCAACGTTTCAGTGCTATCGGCGTGCTCCAGAACCCCCTCTGGGTGGTTTGACAAGTCTGGTTTAGCTGCTTCTCGGGGGACCTGCTTCCTGAGCAGCTCCTGCTGTTCCGCAGCTCTTACAAACAGTTGCTCAGAATTATCTCGAGGAATGCAGCACCACAGCTTAAGTGGCCCAGGATGATGAAGCCCTCCTTCACGTCTTAAATGGTCTGTTATCTGGTAGGATTCAAAAAAAGTACAGTGTTGTTAATGTTGCCAAACCCTAATCAATAGAGCTAACAAGTGTTTCATTGAATCAACATATCAATATTAAAGAGAAAATAAAATAGCTTATTGTTTCCAGTCAGCTGGTTTGGGTACATTTTACTTCAGTAAGTACAGAACGTAGAATGAGCACATTTCTTGCAAGGAGTAGTCAAACCTAATTCTCATGGAATGCTTGTTTCCCAGTAAAAACCACTAATGCAAGCCAAGTTCCCAAGTTTCCTTCTGTTAGAACAATGCAAATGACACTTCCAAGGATGAATGGATGCCCTGGTCTCTCAGGGATTTATAGGAAGGACAAGGTATCTTGCGCTTGTGAATGTTACAGTCACGTCTAGCTACACACAATGATGCATTCTCAAATGTTACCAGCCTACTGATCTAGGATGAAAAAACTTGAACTAAACATGTTTTTCTTTTTTACATTCTGATTTTTTCTGCCTTCTTTAAAAACAAGAGGTTGAATTCACAGTGTTTGTATAGAGACTGGTAGGAACCTATGTGCTTTAATCCTTTCAGACTGAATGTAAACCAACTTAATTTGAAACACGGTTTTGCCTTAATGGTTTTAAAAAAATAAAATATTTTTAAAAGTTAATTTAATGACATGTGCTGATCTTTTATCTCCAGGAAGGGAACTCACTGCAATGTGACATTCAGAAAGCAGCCTATTTGAAGCATCTTCAAGTACTGGTGCTTCCCTGTGTACTGTTAGATGTCTTTTGAAGCAGGAGTGGGTGTGTCACACAACCCAGAGACATTGCATATACATTTATTTATATATATGACCTAAGTTTGGTGCTGACCCACCATCCAGCTCTGATCTTTCATATTCTCATGGGGTGTATGGCTGGTTTGAGACATCCATGGAATTCAACAAGTGCACTTCTGTGTGAAATGCACCACTGACTAATTCAATGAGCACATCTTCAATTAAATCAGTCAGGGAAGTATGTCACAGGTAGCTGCTTTCCTTCCAGAATCTGGGGATATTTTAAGCTGGTTACAGAGTGCTGAAGTGGAAATTCCAGCAGAGGAAAAAGACTCTGGTTTCTTCATCAGCTGTGCTCAGGAGCATGGAAGACCTGATGTTGAAAGTACTTGAAGTTGAAAGTACTTGAAGACCCCAATGAAAACCACCTGTAAAGGCTGTGCATCCATGAAGAGCAGGAAAAGCTGGGCATGGTATCATTCAGGCTGTGAAATCACATATATATTAAAATATGATGGTACTGAGACCATAACGATCATGTTCAGTGGAAGTACAAGAATGTGGAATAACTAAATTCTAAGAGCTGGGCACAGATAATAATCCATTGTCATTCCAGGAAATACCAAGTGGCATGTAGGGCAGTCTCCTTTCCCTAAAGCATAGACCAGAGATGCCAGAACACATCTGCTGTCCCTCTGTGGTACCTGCTGGCTTTTCTGCACCTACCAGGTCTTCACAGCCAGGTAACTGTGTAGCAGAGGCATCCCTGACTTGGTTTTTCCTGCTGTAAAATAAATAACTGAACTGTACTGACACAAATTAAATCTTAGGTAGTTTTGCTCTGAGGTTCTGCTCCCTTTTAACACTGAGTCTTTCCCCCCTTCAGTTCAACATAACAAGCACTTAAAGGCATGAAGATTTCTGAGGGCTTAAAATGACTCAGTCATATCGTAAAGGCAAAGATAATGGTTATGAATAAATGAGATAACTGCTTTTGTCTTAAAAGGGCACAGAACAAGCTGAGCAGGAGGGAGAACAGGTCAGACAGATGAGATCCCAGTCTCACTGACAACAGAACTGCACTAGGCAGGCTTTTAAAACCTGCTTTTAAGAATACAATCTGTCATGAACAATGGGAAATCCAGCAAAAAACATATTTCAAGGTATGTTTGCTGGTGTAAACATAACCTGTGATCTCACACAACCATGTTGCTTTGGCAGCTTGATTATAACACTACAATTCAAAGGTGGGAAAGTGCTTTCTTCAGTTGTGGGTTTAGCACAGGACGTGCCTCTAATGTTTATAAGGAACAGACACAGACACACCACAACTTTTAAACAGTGTTCCTAACATGAAACTGAAATATAATACCACCATCTTACATAAGTTTAGTATCACTTTCCCTGAAAGTGTAGTCTTTTGTAACTGCAAAAAGGAACCTGAAATGTTGCCTCCTAACTTGGGTCTTTTTTCCCACATTTAGAGACATATATATATATTATTTATTAAAGGACTTAGGGCTTGAAAAGGCTACTAATAGGTCCATTATTGCTCCTCCACTACAAGAAATTTCAGTCCTGAACGGAGGGCACCAATATAGTAAGTTCATTAAAAAGAAAGATTTCAGGATACTTCAATGTCCTAAACAATTCCTTGAAATACTGTTGATTTCTTTTAACAAACACAGATTCATTCTACTGAAATGATTTTTGATGTTGTCCTATTACAAGTTATATGGATGGAAGTGTTGGGAAAAAGAGATGTTCACCAAAGCATTAACAGGTTCTGAAGCAATGACCAGCAGTAACTTGAGTAAAAAAGGGGATTTTGTGATTAGGGAGCATTCTAGATGTATTTTTAAGGCGTGTGACTCAGGTTTTACATAAAAGCCACCTAAATTTTAAGACAGTCAAAACAGATAACTGAAGAAGCTAATTTTTGACTAAACAAACTGCTGTTTCCATTGATCTTCTTACCTTTTTTACCTGCAACTGTGTTTCTGACATCCCTATTACAGCTGCAGTTTATTTGTCTGGTTCAGGAAAGACTTGAGTGTATTAATGGAACTTTTCTATTTCCAGATTAACTGCTTTGAAAGTGAAAAAGAAGTCACCTTTATTGTAAAGCATAAGCCAGATGTATTCAGGGTCCTCTTGAGCTGCTGTGCTGACATGGACTGGAAGGTTAAGTGAAAAGTGACTGCAAGTGCAAGGGACTTGTAAATACTTTTATTGATTGCAGAAGCAGCAACCTTCAAAGTCTCAAGTCTCAATGCTGTGATAGCATTAAGATTACAATATTGAGAAATTTAGGTATTATATTGATGACATTTTCTCACAGCACTTTTAGTTTAGACTTAAAAATAAAGCTTTAAATTCCCTGCCTTATGTAATCTTACAGGACAGCACTGCCAGATTAACAATTGGTGTACACTGACCTGCTTGGGTATATTCTGAATTAAGCCAGATCAATCTGTTTTGGAATTTCATAACACTGCAGGGAGTGTCAAGAACAACACAAAGCACTAAAATAGCAAATGTGGAAATCTGGACACTGTTCCTATGCTCTGTGCTGTCTGGTTTCTTACTGCAAGCATTTCACACGGTGACAGCAGGCTCGTCTGCCTTCTTTTCTGGCTCCTCAGCACCTCGGAGCCGCTCCCTGGCGCGGCCGGCGCTGCACGGGGATGTCTGAACCCAAGCCAAGGGCAAGGAAATGTGCTGCTCTCTCTGGTAGTAGTGAGCTGATGAAGGTCACTTCTTTAAAAGGAGCAACGTGATAGTCTCCAAGCAGAGAGAGGAGAAACCCCAGCCAAAGAACTGTCGCTCTTGGACCTTCAGGATTTATGCTTTGTATCCGTTTTTTTGCAGGATTTCTGCTGGGGCTTCCTTTTATCCATGTCTTCTTGTATTTCCAAAGGAAAGGCCTTTAGCTTTTCTTTCACACAGGGGAGGCAGAAGCTTTTGGAGTAGAACAGACTACAGTCCTGTAAAGAAAATAACATTACTAGCAGGATACACAAAATGGAAATGCTTACGTTCCAGTCTCATTAAACTACATTTATATTTAGAATTCTTCTAAAATGAATTCTTCTTCTTCTAGGCTGAAATATTCCAGCAATTTAACTTGTTCTTACTCAATAATTCTAACATCTGGTTAGAGCCAAGTGGGTGAAAAATCAAACTCCCAAATCAACTGTCCCACTGCTCCTGTTAAAGTGACCTTCACCAGCTCCCTGCTCCAGGGAATAGCAACACCCCTCCTTCAGCTGCCTTCTCCTTCCAGCACCATGCATGGGTTTCCTGGCCTGCTCACTGAATTCCAAATGGGATTTCATGGGTAAGCTGCAGCTGGTGTTGCTGATGGATTATACCTGGAGAGTGAATAAAGGTATAAGCGATTCCATGGATTTTACTGAAACAGCAAAGTTTTCCTCCAAGTCTTGCTTGATGAAGATTTCTAGTTCCTGGGAGGATCTTCCAAATTCCTGCAATGGCGTGTGAGACTTGGAGCCTCAGCACACTCTTCCTCACCAATCTCCACAAAAATGGCCTCAAGGCCCACACAAGTACCAAGTACTGGAGGCTCTCTCAACAGAGCATCTTTTCCGCAACGCCCAAAAAAACTATTCTTACTTCCATTAATCCATGCACTTGTACTGTCCTAGGAGACTACTAAAAAGTATCACTATTATATCAGTATCACAGAGGTGTCCAATAACTGGAGTAGTTAATGAACTCAATTAATCTGAGACAATTCAAATGAGATTTCATCCCTTACCCTCAATAAATGTACTCACTGGTTAAAACCTAGAACCACACTTGGTACTAAAGCTTGAGCTAATGGCTCTCCTCTGAACTCTTGATAGCAAAGTTGTGCACAAAGAAGGTATTTTTGCTATCCCTGTTCTGTTCACAGGTCATACAGACTGAATATTTACTTTTTTCCCAGGAGCTGTAACCAGATGTTAGTAATTGAATAGAAAGAAGCAAAACTGACGGAACATTTTAATGTATTTGCAATATAGAGTTTGAACAACTGGAAGAGAAACTAATTAATGTATTATTCCTTTGCTCTGCAGCGAGACTTGACATCCCTGGTTCTCTTGATGTGCTGATCACCAAATTCCAAATAGGATTTCATGGGTAAGCTGGAATTGGTGTTGCTGATGGATTATTCTTGGAGATTTAAAAATTAATAAAGACATCAGTTTAGATAGAACTGGACAAATGGAACCCCTGGGTCTTACCTAAATAGTAAAGTTTTCCCCTTGCCATGGTCATTTGCAGCTGGCCTTTCTCGGGGAGCTAGGCTTGGCTGTTCCTGTGTTCCTCTCCTTGTTTTTGTTTCTTACGTCACTATCTGGGCTTTAGCAGCAGATTCAGGTGATAATTATATCAAAATCACAATCAGCCTGCTTCCACGTGACTTGGAAGCTTGGGGAACAACTTGTCTTCATCCATTGTCCTTTTCTGCATTGACTGCCAGGCCCCTTCACGCTCAGGAATGAGTGCGAGGCCTTAGTCTCTGCAAAGCCCTGCAAGTGGATTTCAGTTGCACAACCTCCAGAGCCTATTGTTTTTTGTCTCTTGGTATCCTTAATACGTTAAGCTGCCAGTTTAAAAGGGGAGATTAGAGTTTCAGTTGGCCTGGCCATTGTTGCTTGCATCACCAAATGGCACACAGCCCCCCAGCTCCAAGGCTCAGTGCTCCCAAAGGTGGCCACTGGGCCACGGCAAAGGAGGGGAGAGGCTGTTCCTGCAGGTGGGATCCCCGATGTCAAAATGCAGCTCCTCACAGGTAGAACAGGTGCTCAACTTGCATTCTTTCGGCTGAAATGAGTTGCTAGTGCAGATTTTGGCCAACAGAAACTGGGGAAATCATGACTATGAACCACTGCACCCCGGAGCATGTACCTGTAGTCCTGCTCTCTCAGTCCTGGGATTTTCAGCCTAACCTTTCTTTCAATGCCCTACAAATTAAACTGACCATGTAGAGTCGAGCCCTTCTTTTAAAGCTTTATCCTGATACAGTTCTGTGTTTAATCAGATGATTCTTTAATGTGTTTTCTCCCTTCCATGACCAAGGCAGGAGGGGGACCATTTCAATTCCAAATTTAATAGTCCAATTCAGGCAAAACAGCTGCCAAAGCATGCTGCCATAGTTTATTTCTGTTTTGACATGAATCATGTCTGAAAGTAATATATATATGGGGATGGTATCTTTACATAATATGTAAAGGAAAGGCTCTGCCCATCCCTATCCAGGACTGACCCTACATGACTGGAAGCTGAGTGGGAAGCAGCTGTAGTATTACATTTATCACTTAATGCCTACAATCATGTCTGAGGTCAGTGCTCAGTCACCTTCTGCTGAGGTGAGCAACAAGGGATGAAACTTCCTCCCTTCCCTCCTTTCTTCTCCAAGAGCCACCTTTTTTCCTTGTCTTTAGAAAGTGTTGCAATAAAACAGAAGTAACTATTTTAAATTACTAATATGGTCAGATTATATAATTTCCTCTCCCCTTTTCTGAAAGGGTAATAGGAAGAAGGGTACTCAACCTGCCCAAAGACTTTTAAAAGCATTTCTGTTATCTTAGTTTTTGTGTGGTTTTGACATGTTTTAAGACATTACAGATAATAATTGGAATTATTCCCAGTTGGATCAGAACTAATGGCACTTACCAAGGCACTCTGATAAAAGACTTGAGCAGGGTGATACAAGCCACAAAATGATTAAAGTAAATTAATCACTGAGTGAAACTTCAGAGGATATTTGGAGATATTTAAGTTTATGAACACTATACAGAACAGCTCTAACTCATGACTTTCATTGGCACAATAAAAGGAAATAGACTTCAGCTAGCATGGGTTGTCTCATGAAAACCCTAAAATCTGATCTGTCTCTCAAGTCCCCTTAGGTCCCCCAAAGCTAGCTAAAATCCCTTTGCCAAATCCAAGGTACGAAAAGTCTTAATTTTGCCACACATTAGCCTAATACTATTCTGAATTACCACATTTTAAAAAGCAACCTGTCACTAAAACCTTTCCAATTGGTACAGCTTCTTTGCAAAGAGGCCCAAGAAAGTATGCTTTTCTTCAGCTTCAATTCCTGTGTTTTAACATTTAACTCAGCTCAGGAGTGAATTGATGGACTTGGTTCAAGCACAAGCAGGAACCACAGCCAATACAGAGATATTATTCTACCTTTGTCTCTCCATATTGCCTTAGATAAGTTTTTACTTCTTTGGACTTTAATTTTCCCTACATGAAGAGGGATAGTATGTGTTTACTTACTTTGTGGTGTGGGTGTTTAAAGCACTAATTATCATTTCTGCAGATCTCTTTCAATGTTACCTAAGCAGTATTGCTAAATTCATTTTGAAACCATAGTCATATGTGTGATTCACTATCTGGCCTGGCCAGTTTGGTAAGAAATTTATTCTCAATTATTTACAATCAATGTTTTACTTTGAGTGATACCATCAGGGGAATCTTGAAAACTCAGATAACAAGCAGTAAATGACTGACAGATTTCCACAACAGGCAAAATAAGCAGGACTTTCAAAAAGATTAGAAGCTTCCATTAGCTCACTGCAAGTATCTTCTATTCATTGCCAAGGCCTGGGTTAACTGAAACAAACACATCTTTTCAAAGAAAAAGCCCCACCTTCATTCAGAAAAGCACAGTGTGTGCAAAGACCCTGAGAGGCTGAAATGCTCTATTTCTGACAGCTCAAACTGCCACACATGGAAATATCTGCTGAATCCTTCCTAAATTAAGACAATTGATTTGGGAATGAAAATAGTTAAATGTGCTCAAGTTTGTCCCAAATGTGTCTGTGTTGCCAATCCTCTGCTGTTAGAAAGGAAGGATAAACCTGGCGTGTCAGGGCAGGAATTGAGCCCCTAAGCCCAAACTCTGAGTAGCTGCTCTTGGCTCCTCGCTGGGCTGTGTGGGAGGGAGTCAGCCCCTGCCACAGCAGGGACAGCAGGGAAGATCCTGCTCATGTCAGCTTGGCCTCCACACAACTGCCCTGAGCCACCTGGCTGTGGAAACTTGAGCCCAGCCACCACAGCCACAACCAGAAAGTGCTGGCACTTCAGCTAGTCAGAGCCTGCTTTAACTTCAGAATAGAGAGAAACAAACCAAACCCTCTGAGCTGCAATCACTTTTGGTGACTTTCAGTCATTTAAATGTCAAAAGAGCCTTCAGAGATAGGATGCAGAGAAATACTCCCAGTGCAGGTAGCTGGGTGTGCAAGCTCCCATGCCAGCTGCACATTGTGCCATGGATAGTAGGAAACAACTGGAGCCCCCAGCACCAAGCCAGGAACAGGCACAGATCCTTTTCCTAACAAAGGGCTCAGGGCCCTGCATCACAGTCTGGGAGAGGACTGGTCACCCTGAGACTCTGCAGGAGCCAGTGAACAGCAGGAAGACCCCAGACCCAAAATTCCCCATGGGAACAGGTGCACAGACTGTAGGGGTATAAAAGCTCAGGGGTTTCTTTATTCGGGGCCCCTTCCAGAGGAAGCAGCCTGAGCTGTTCCTGCTGCTGCAAAATTCAATTATTAAACCTTTTTTCCTGAAACTGGATCCCTGACAAACCTGAGTAAGAAGTTTCTTTAACAAGGAAATAAACCCAATCAGGAGAAAGATGTTACTGCATGCTCCTCTTAGCCCATCCTTGGTGCTGACTGCCACAAGTCAGAATAGCAACTGAACTGAGCCAAGTGTGCCAGTATCCTTCTGGCTGTGTCTGCCCAACTCCCAAAATCCGAGACTCACAGCAAACAAAGGGGCCAGCTCTGCACTGAGAAGAAGGAATTAAGACAAGTAAATTTACTCCACCTTTCTGGACTGCACTCAGATTTCATAGTTTAAGGTTGCCTTCCAGCTGCTACTTAAATTCATTCTTCCTCAGAGAGCAAGCATGGCATGGTACAACTCTCTTCCCTGCTCACTTTAAACATTAATTTTTGCAAATAGGATGACAGCCCTGTGCTGCGAATGCAAAACTAACAATCCATGGATATTTATATTCCCTTTACAGAAAAAAACCCGACCTACTATTGTGTGTGATTTATATTGCCCTTGCATTTCCTGGTGCTAAGAATGTAGAAAAGAGCACTCCTTGTGCTTGAGAGGCTGGACTGTGCTTACCTGTAAGTAGAACATTCACGGCTGCTGATCATTTTAATTTAATACTGAGAGCTTCATCTGGTGGAATCCACAAGAACATCCAATTAGGTACAATTAACATACATGTAGTGGTAGGACAAGGGGGAATGGTTTGCTTTAAAATGGATTGTTTGGGATTTTGCTGCTTGATCTTTCTCTGACAGGTCACCAGGACTGGAACAAAAAGAAATTATTGAAGCAGCTTGTTTTGCTTGTTACTTACTGTACCAACACACACTGCTCTCTACACAAACTGCAACAAGATCTAATGATGAGGAACTTGTCCTTGTCAGGGGTGAAAGGATCCCTCATGACATATGCTTCTTCCAAAAGCCAGCAAAAGAATAATTTCAGGCTTTTAAGTGTATACTTCACTGAGGGGATGGTTAAGAGGGGGAAATCGTAGAGGTTGAAAAGTTATCAGCCCTTTGTACTTGATTTGCTCATCTTACTCTTGTGTATGTGGTAATGCAGCAACTCCTTTTCAAAACCTTCAGCTCTGCAGCTGCCTTCAGTCCTATACTGTACTTCCTATCTCTCTTCCAAAAGTAGAGCAACTGGTGAGTCTCTCAGTGTCATCTTACTAAGTTTTTCTCAATGCTTTACCTTAACCATCTTCCATCTATTATAACAGGGATCCCTTAGCATGGCAAACTTCAGTCCCTTCAGCACCTTGTCAAGTCACCATTTCAATTGCACAGCTTTTAATCACAAGTTCTCTTCCAAAGCTGCATGCATGTGAGTATGAAATACAAAGGTTTTACTGCTCTTGGTTGTGTTGCTGCTGTAAAGCTGAGGTCCCCAGCTCCTGAAAGCAGGAGCTACCAGCAGAGAGCCCTGCAGTTACCTCCAGTGTGCTTACTTTATGTCACAGACTGTACTGCTTGCTCCAGGGTGTTGAGGGAGTGCATTTAATAATAATTTCACAACCTGCTTGGGAAAAACTAAAGCCTTATTTTTTCTGGGAGCTCCAGGCAAAAGAACACAGAAGCCAGTTGAGCATCTGTCTGCCTAGGGCATGCAGCAAGGGCACCTGGCTTACTCCTGGGCTTAAGTAAAATTTGGATTATGGGATAATATGGATAAAAGGTATTCTGTCAGCTTGTACTGCCTTCTCCTTGCCTCCACACACACAAAAGTGCGTGCAGGAGTGTGTCCAGCACTGTGTTCCTCTCTCCTTTTTCCGTCCACTCAAACAGAAAATGATTTGGCCAGAGCCTTCCACTGTTAGGAAAGATCAGGCATCTTATCATGGCAAATCACCCTGTCAACAAGTCCCTGGGATACAAAGACAGGATTGTGTCTGCAAAGCTCCCCTTGCAGGATTCCCAGCCCTCATCATTGCAGAGCCATTTGACAGGGCCCCCTGTCCAGCACATTTCCTGCAGCACTGCATTTGGGACACATGAGCAAGCCAAGAAAGATGGGATGTGAAGCTGTTTCTTAAAAGCATCTATAGAAGTGTGATGCTTCAGCATTATTCTTTTGTTTTTGGCACCTGAGCAATCCAAATAAAGCTGGAGTGTTAACTCTGAGATTGGATAACCTAAATTAAGAGTCACATTCAGACTCTTCAGCAATGGACCTGATCAAAGGTGAGCCATTGCTCTGATGAGTGAAGAGGGAAAACCAGCAGCACTGTGGGGTTTGGAATGATAAAAAGACAGCTGCCCAAGGACAACAGCCCCAGCAGCTGGTGATTAACAGCTGTTTCCATTCTTTAAGAAATTGAGCAGTCTTATTGGAGTGAAATGCTGAGTACATGCCTGACTTCCAGCTCCAGAGAGTTCCTGAACATGTCTGCCTGATGAATTTGTTGACCATGACGGCCTCCACAAAGCTACTCTTGCATTTCAAGCAAAGTGCTTTATTTTATGGGGAGTTTCATGTCTGCAGACAAAGCTGTAACTGCATAATTCCTGGTCAAACTATCCCTGCTTTGCAGAGAGAGAAAAGGCTTTGGTCTGAAAATATAAACACAGAGTGAGCATCCACACACCCTGATGTTGCACGGTCTGACAAAGGATTGTCCAATCCACACAAAAAAACACTGCTATTCAAAACTCCACATCATGCCAGATAGCTCTTAAGAAGTGTTTTTTTTCCATATATATTTCATTCATGCCGTGTGTATGTATTGCTCAGCTGAGGGAGGCTACAGTGAGGGAAGGGCTATTCCCAGAAATACCAGGCTGGCAGTCAGCAGTATTCTTGCAAGAAAATATCGGTACAGTAGAGTAGTCAGTGGGGCTAGGAAATAGGTTAAATACAGATTTTTGCATGGTATTGAAGCAGGGCACAAAAATTGATTGTTGTTTTTCCTACCAGCACTGACAATTTTTAACACTCATTCCCTTTGGAAAAAAGGAGATCACTTTAAGTACCAAGCCTCATGCTCAGGATCAGTAGAGCACATGGTTGGGCTCATGCAGTGCACTCTGCAAGGATTGCAATGCTCATGGCAGAAATGAAGTCTGTGATCTCAGAGGGCACTTGCACAATCAAGTGTGAGTTTGGTGACGTCCGCCCATAATATGTGCACAAGGCTGATAACTCACACAGCTCACATTTGAACTCTCCTGGTGTCTGAACTTCTTTGGGAGCATCCATTTTTAAGCTACCTGCAAGAAACCCACCCAAAAAAAATCTTCTAGCTTCAAAATGCAATGCTGGGAACATATCTGAAAGAAGATTAAAGTGACCTGAGACATCTGGCTTTGCAAATTAAAACGCAAAGGAAAACTGACAATTGCAGACCTTGATGAATAAATATTTTCTCCCAAATCAAGCTTGTTTCCCATGTCCCAGTTAAATTTTCAAATTCCTTAGACAGGTCTATAAACTGCAGACTGGGAGCCTAACTATCAAGTTCACCTATTAATTTGGAACATCCATGAAATAACCCAGGAGACAAAGCACATGGCTGTGATCTCCAAAACCCTCTGCTCAACTGAGGTCTATACTCCCTAAGTGCTTCCTAGGACAATATTCCCTATCTGCTGCTCTGCAGAATTCCAATCCAGTTCTGCAATGCCCATCTCCTCCCTCAAACTGGAGCCATGAAAGGGTTTGGGACCTCACTCAGGAGGCAGGTACCAGGAAGGTAAGTGTTGCAAAGAAAAGACTGTGTCTTTTTCTTTGCTTCTGGTTCACCTTGGAATAGTTTTGGAAGCTTACCCCTGACTCCCTGTTCCCATCTGCCTTTCTATGGAAATGAGGACAATGGAATTACCCTATACCTTGATAAAGTGTTGGCCCATTCCAGCCACATGGGACAAAGGAGCAGACACCTTTAAAAAAGTTTAGGTACTATAACTTTTATGAAAATAGGCAGAAGGGGAAGACTACTTTATCTTCCTGGAGAATACCCATATATATTTCTATAAACAGGAGAATCTGCACATAGGACATTATTGTCCATCCTTCTGACAGACTTCAGGCCCCACTACAAAGGTATGGCCATCAGTCCCAAGATACAGCATATAGGAAGTCATGTTGCATCAGCTTTGCTGCTAACAGATTACTTGTTTAAAATCCTGGCCATTGATTCACATTTTGGGAGCTTGCTCTTCACTAATACCACTAATATTAGTTGAGAGTCACACCCTCAGCTTTTTCCAAAAGTATGGTGTGGCAAGCAGGCTTTTAGGATTGATTTTTGTCTGTATCAACAATCCTATCAAGCACAGCTAACCATGTGCATGCCCAAAAATTGCACCAATCCATGAAAGAAACTTGGTTGCTTGTTTGCAAACTGGGTATCTTTGCTCACCTGCACCATTTTCTTGTACAGACAATTCACCTTGCAATTATCAAAACTACAGCTTTTAGCTAAAAACCCTCATGCTTTTCATGGTACAGTGTTCTGTTGCAAACCAGTCAGCTTTTGGAAGACAAGCAGGGCTGGTGTCAGGCTATGAAGAGGTGAGCACCAGGAATCTGGGTTTGGGTGGTATCTCAGCAGGTAGGTTGTGTATGCTCCCAGCTGAGCACATCCACAGCATTCCCACTCTTCCAGCAGGGCATTCCCACTCTTCCAGCTCTGCAGCCAGACCCCTTCCCTGCAGAGATGATTCAGTTCACTAAGGCCACATCCCTAATTATGCTTCAGCTCAGGGGTTTTCTTTGGGAACAAATTGCCTGACTGTCCCCTCCTTACCACACAGGTTTGCACCACAGAGCAGGCTCACAGCACACAAACCAGAGGGTTTCAGAAAAAAATAATCCAAAAGTTGTGCTCCGGAAGCACCTAACATGCTCCAACCTGAATGCCCAGCTGGTGGGCATGCAGCATACCAGGCTGGCACCAGAGGTGATCTAAAACATCCCAGAACACAGAGAATGGGCAGCTGGTATCCAACACCCAACACCTTGGTCCATGGTTTGTCTTACTAAATTGCACTAGCTAGTAATGCAGCAACAAAATTTTTTTTTCATTTTCTTCTTCCAATATTTTTTCTTTATTGCTTTTAATGAACTAAATTGGCTTGCAGAGGAATCCAACAGCTGCTAACAGTAGCACAAGGTAAGAGGCAGAACTGCAGCACCAGCAGAAAGGCAGGGCTGAGATGAGGGACCTGCACATCCCTCTTTTGGTGTAAGCTGCTATTTCTGCTTGCCCGACAGTGAAACTGAATCCTCAGAGACATCTGCTGACAAGGTGAACCAGGGGCAAGGTGAAGCAGAGCTGGGACTACTTGTCATCTAATGTTCCACAAGAACAGGGAGATCCTCAGGGGCAACAGAGGCTTCATGACAGACACCCAATTCTGATAGTCCTAGCCTCTTAAACCCTGAAACCTAATTTTGGAAATAAACTCCCTTACCTCATCACTCCTTTACCACCAGCCTTTCCACAGCCATTCATGGCATTTCAGTAGCAGAGAATTCTTCAGATATAACACAGATGGGGCTGGACACTGCATTTATAAATAAATTCACCTTGAGAACACCTTAGGAAGCTATTTTTTCACAAATTGTATGACCCTTAGATATGATGTGTTTTCCCTACCTCACAGGGATGATTGAGAACATTTAATTAACTCAAGTGTTTTCAGATTTGTCAGTTAGTCGTACAGCATGTACATGCTACCCCTTTCTCCCTGTACATTGTAATTTGGATTCTTCACACTATGAGCTAACTCAGCTAAAAAGTCTGCTTTTTGAACCCTGCATTTTAGGATTGCCAGCCAGGTCCCCCTGACATACCTAACTTTACTTTTTCTGCAGGTACCCAGCAGCAACACCAACACACCCACTCGACTGAATGAGATTCAGAGCAACACTTGTATGCAATTTTTTGTAATCAGTCTTCCTTAAAAAGGAGAAATCATTAACCCCAAAGAAGTAGAGTATGGAAAGTCGCTTGAATCAAATTTACTATAATGCTGACTTTTTCTTTAAAACAGTGCAAAACACCAAGAACCACAACAACAAAAAAGAAGTATTTATGGCAGTGAGGGTCATAGACTTTGGAATGAATATGTCCTGATCCCAAGTTAAAATAACAGCCCTGGGTTCAGAGCTGAAGTACGTTAGATATAGAAACACCTGCTCTCTCACAGACCATCGGCATGTAGAACAGAATCTGTTCAATGCCTACCACTGGGAAGGAATGATATCTATGTACAAACACATTTTTGGCTATGCCAGTTGAAAAGCATATGATCCTGCCTGCAAGACACAGATGAATTTATGATGCTTTCCATCTTGCTCCCAGCTTACAAGTCACTGGTAGCAGCTGTACCAAGTTTTATTTCACTGGGAACATCATTTGTCCTGAGAGCTTGTCTACACATCAGCACTTGGGAAAGTTAAGGTTCCTAACTAAAAGTGTGAGGTCAATGAATACACAGATTTCAGAGTGAATGCTCCCATTCAGATAAAGTTTGCTATACAACAAAGTCAAGCTATTTCTCTCTGAATAAAGAATGTCAAGTTTATGCATGTGCTTCACACCTTTAGTCTAAATTGCCAAGCAGACAAGTCCCTAGATGCACTTTCTCTCAAAGAGTCACTTCCAAAAAGTTCCTTTGCTTTGAATAACCATGGCTTTATGCCATAAACCCAGCTGAGCCAGACAAAGGTTTATCACATTGGTCAGCTCATTGGTTTGGCACTACATGCCATCTTAGCAGGATGTGACAGTGTGCCAGGTGTTTGTCTGCCCTCCAGACACGTGAAGCAGAGTGAGAACTCATTTCTCTCTAGCAAACCAGCAGCAGGATAAAGGACCTCTTGAGGAGAATGTCTAGGGCACTAATCCCTTCTTAATAATGACAGACAAATTTGTGGCCACGAGAAGCCCAAACCATCACCAGGTGCTCCCACTATTTTTTTTTTACCTTAGAATGTTCTGAAGCAGCACCATTTCCCAGTAACACATCACAAGTCTGTCTGGCTGACACATGCTGAACAGGTCTGTGACAACAGCTTGTCTAGAACTGAATTCTGCCCAAGCACTTTCCACTCTGACTGGAAGCCACAGGGTATTTTAACACATCTTTACTTGACACACATGCCCAGCTCTTCTGGAAAGAACTCAGTTATCCACAGGCTTGGGCAACCACTGAACTAACACGCTCTACAGAAGCCTGCTAGGTCAAGCCTAGAGTGCTGCAGGATGTGTGTGAGGTTGGCTCACATGTCCTGACAAAAGGTGAAGCACACAGATTTCAGCGCCATAGTAAGGAAATAACTGCAGTAAAAGAAAGGCACGGGTTAGGTAGTGCTGAAAGTGTGTTTCTCCGTGCTGTCTGCAACTGATACCTGATATAGACATGGGGAAATGGCTCTCAGTCCAGTTCTCTGGAGACTCCTAAAGACTTCAGGGCAATTCTGATTGGAACACTCTGCTAAGAGGCCTGGAAGGCATGCCAGAAATCATAAATCACCCTTAAATTGTCAGGGTCAGTGGCAAAGTAGTAGCACAGATAAGTAATCTGATTTTCTTTGCTTCAAACCTCATTAGCACAAGTATTTACAATGCATAGGTTAAGCCCTTCTTAATACTCCACAGGAGATTCCTGTATTTCTGAGTCACTGATAAACTAGAGAAACCATACAAGAAACAAAGTACCTATAAACAGATGCAGACTTTGATTTGAAAGGCTGTCAGATAAAACCAACATTGACACACCCTTAATCCTCTCCTACAAAACCCTTGTTTCTTTTACCTGCCAGGATTTTCCAGCAGCATTCACTGTTGATTATAATAATCTATTAAAATATTCACAGCTCGATTTTCTACAGGGAGGAGTGCTCTCTAGTAGAAGGGCAGTTCATACCCTGGCATGTGCCAGTGTTTGGTGTGACAGATATTTAAACACCCTTCAGCACCAGCAACTTGCCTTCTTCAGAAAAGCAATCTGCTGCTTAACTGATCAAGCAGTAGATAAAACAGCAGAACTTTCTGACTTGCTAGTTAATCCCCAGGTGAACAACTTTCTTCCTCCTGCTCCTTTGTGCTACAGCCCTGAAGGCATGTTCAGGTCACCTGTGGCTGC